TTATCTGTTAACTGTTTCTTTGAGAGCTGCATTTAGGAAACCTGGCAGGAGACACCTTTGTTGCAAGCCTTTCATATGTTTTTTAGGCACAGGACATCCTGCAGGACTACCTGTTAGCCATGACCACTGACGAGCAGCTCCTCAATCACACCGCAATGGTAAGACTTGCACCTTTTTTTTGTTTTGTTTTTTTATTGCCGATATGAGATATCAATATATCTATCGATATATTCAATTCATTTCTATGTTTATATACATTATATACTGGACTTTGTATTCCAGTCTTGAACAATTTGTTGCTGCATTAAAAAGGTTTACAGTTAAATTGTAATTTCTGTTCATTTTGAAGATTTTTTTTTTTTTTTTACCAAGTTGCTGGTGTGTCATTTATTATTTTAATAATAAACAGCAATTCACTAAATGAATACCTATGTATTTGATTGTTACGTTTTAATTTAGCCAGGAAAGAAAAGCTACGTGGTATCACTACTCAAAGAGTCCTTATTCTGCATAATAGCCATTAATGACTTTTTACATCTCTGCCTTTCTATGTTCAAAGTCCTGCCTTCAGCCAGCCTCTCTCAGGTCATCTTTGATGTTTTCAGTGTTGAATCGCTGTTTGACGTGGCCGATAGTAGACAAGTCTCCGCTCACCCTGAAGTGTTGTAATATTATGCAACCCTTTCTTCAATATGCGCTCCCGTTGGTTGAACAGTCTTCAGTCGCCGTGAGTGAGCACGCGGCTGGAGTCTCTTCTGCTCGTGAATCACCAAGCTGTTGACACTCAGCAGATCCCTCTGCACCTCCCCCTTTTGTTTTGAATATGTGTGGGCCGCACATCGGGACTAATGTATTTGGTAATTACAGTCCATTAGAATTTGCGGCACAGCGAGCCACAGCGCTTGGTTAAGAGGAGCAGAGGATGCGGGGTGGTGAAGAAGAAACACATAGTGGGCGGTTCTGTTGAGCAGTTACCTAATACCTGTCAGGTAGAAAGCACAACTATAGATGACTTGGCTGTAGTCGGGACTATTATGCTAACAATAGTGCAAAGTCCAAATGTAAATAGGCCGAAGGTTGGGGAAAAAAATGTTCTAAAGCCACCCGCAACAAAACAAGGTGACTACATTTCCTCTCTTTACGTTAGTGGCCTGTCATCTTTGAGTTTATTATACCACGACACAAGTCGCACAGTGTTCAGAGGATCGCGGCCACTCCACCAGTTCTCCGTGGCTTTTATTTATCCTGTTATTCACTCAATTAAGCACGGACCATAATGCAAGATAACTGTCTTTGATACGACATTTGCAAAGGAACTGCCTACTAAATCAGCCAGATCAGCACGTACTGCTGTGTGTCGGGCCATTACCTGGAGCTGTGTTGGACTTCTCAGCTCCTAGGAAATCACTGGGTGAAGGGTATTGTTCAAGAGGGGAGCTAGAAAGTGACAAATCATCGAATACTGTTCAGAAGGGAGCGTAATCATTTACCCTCAGACCTAAAGAATACATATGTTTGGTATCTTTGGTTGGAAATAAGATATTTGAAGTGCCACTGAGACTGTGAGACAGCTGCTGTAACTGAGTAAGCAGGTATATCATGTAATGTTCATTAAGTTAAAGCTGCATTAATCAACATTTTCTGTATTAACAATCGATCAAAGGAATGTGTTTATTATGAAAGGAGTCACGAGTTACAAATTCTCCCTCTGCAGTTCCCCTCAGCACTGGATGTTTAAAAAAAAATGTAATGTATCTTTCAGCTCATTGCTTTTGTTTTATAGTCGGCAACTTTATAGTTGTGGTTCACTCTCAACAACCTCATTTCCAGCCACAGCAGCAAACCAGCTCTGATCAAACCACTGTGCGCTACCTACCAGCACCAAGCCGCAGACAAAGTTAGCAATGAGCTGACAACGGGCTAGCAAGAAGAGTTTGTTGGACTTTTGTTCATCAGGTTTCCAGAATGAATCCTGATGTTTCTTAAAAGGCAAATGCTTGCTTTGAAAGGTGATCACATATCAGTGCCGTTGTTTACAGCGTGTTCACTGCCCTTAAGTAACCAACAAAAGAAAACTGCTTTAACACTGTGTACCAACTGTAGGTTTGTAAATTTGAATAGCTTAACTTAACCAGCATATAGTGTTGGAACAGCAGCTGTTTTTAATACGTTGCACATCATAAGGGTCATAAGGCAACAGGTGCAGCAGCCTGTCTATCCCTTAAATCCATCCAACAATATTGTTGGCAGTGCTTCCATTATTTCCAGTTCTGGTTTTTATTGATTAATGGCTACGGGACAGCTCTGGGGACTCCACAGTCAACGGAATGTAAATCCAGCCCTATGTTTTTTAGATAAATGATCAAAGTGAGATTTTGACCTGATGTAGCGCTTGTCAAATGTCACAAAACAAGAGAGACCAGAACCATAAGACATCTTTACCAGATTCAATGACGCTCTGTACCAAGACCGAGACAAACAACAACCCTGCGAAGCACATTTGTTTGTTAAATAAGGTGACGTAAACCGCACAGAAGTCCCTGATTCATCAGTTTGGTCTGTTTATCATCACTCAACATGCAGTGCACAGCACAGGTGGAAAAGCAAAGCTGTTGACACTGCTTGATTTTCTCTCCCCTGCACTGTATTCCATTCACATCCTTTTTTTTGTTGTTGTTTTGATTGTGTAGGCTCTGAAGAACATCGCTGCCATCAGCCTGGCTATCAATTACCCCAATAAATCTACCAAGCTACTCAACATGTCCCCTCGAGAGATGCCCTGAGAGACGGGAGGAGAACAACTGTAAGGGGCCACATCCTGACTCAGCTGGTTTCACTTTGAACAAGAAAGGGAGAGGTGACCATCCAGTGCTTTCCTTCTTAAAGGACCCACCTCCACTCCGATGACTCTCTGCGGTAACTCTGGACAGGAGCTGTGGAGGGGTCCTCAGAGAGCCCTTTCCACACTTACTCACAATCCTTTTTGCCTTAGGTTAAACCGGTATATCAGCATGTGCATTCACTGGAACAGGAACAATTGCGGGGTCTGGAATTGTTTTTTGTTTTTTTTACTTGACTATGTAAAGGACATGAGGTGTGCCAAATTCGTGACCTTCAAGGGAAAGTATACTCCTTTTTTTCTCGCCCCTTCCTTCCTTCCTTCTAAACAGCAGCCGCCACTGGGTTGCATAGTTGATCATGGTGAAAACAGGTCACCATGGCGACGTACATGTCCCAGTGGACATGTAGAGCATCCTAAAAATACTGTCCAGGACTGTGGAGTCTCATTACTCACCATGGGGAGAAAGTTCAGACCTACTCGCTCATTCCACTCCTTCCTTCCTTTTTATTTGATCTCCACTTCCTTTCTATTTCTCCCCACCTTCTCTCCTTCTTCCTTCCCTATTTACTTCTGTCCTTTTCAGACAACAGAAGTAAATGACGGTGTGTTTTTCAGGGCTCCTGTTGAAGGGAAGGGTCCGTGCATCGTTCACAGATATCCGAAACATACATGTGACCTGCAACTCTCTGTCACGACGACAGGTGTGATGTGCACTAGAACCCACGGGATGAAGATGATACTCAAATAGCCATAGTCTTTGCAGAGGATGAGAATGAACTTTACAGCTGAGGGGAAACTGTGATGACATACTATTGCAATGCATTCCTCTGTGTTATTCTATCTATATGTTGAAGTATTTTCACTCCATTTACTAGTGAATGAATGAAAGACTATTTTGATGTCAAATGATGAATAACAGCCAAAAAAAATAATCATTGAAAAATTCAGAATCTCTTAAAGGCCTTCAGTTTTATCCGCTGATTTATTTATTCATTATTATTATTTTATCTAATGCATCATTTTCTAATGCATAAAGTTCAACGCTTGATGAAAGTCCTGATTTATTTTTCACTGCAGTGAATGACAAGCTGGATTCTAAATCACAGATGGACCGTCTTTCCCTCGCATCACTTATAAAGACTTGATGGGCCGTCAACATACTGATAAAGACACATAAAGCTGACTGTAAGATAGACTCACTATCCCACTTATTCACTCGTACCACATCTCGTTTTGTGAGCTGGGAGAGTTGAATTCTGTAATGATCATCTTTTGTAATTGGTGGGACACTTCCTGAAATGTTGAACGTGTCTCTTCACATTACACCCCCCCCCCCCCCCCCATGTTTTATGGAAGCTGAGATCCACTGGTGTTCACTTCCACAGAGATCAGTCATGTACTTTCAAATCTAAAGTTTTAAAGGGAGCGAGTTGTTGGGGGGGGGGGGGCTGTTCCAATCATTACTGTATTCATTTCAAATGGAGAGATTATTTGAGTTGTTGGAAGTCATGGTGGTTTATACCAAAGAAACCAATCATTGTGAGCCATGAAACATCTCTGAGAGCTCCTGGTAGAGTTCCTTCTCCGTTTGTCACATATCAGAGAGCCACCCCGACGAGAAGCTGGAACAGAGGAAACCTTGACACTTCGTTCTGTTTTTTTATTTTTACTTTTATTTTCCAAATGGTCCCTTTCAAGGACCGTAGAATAGCTCGGTGGTTTAGTTTACACAAACATCTGCTGCGGCGAGGAGAGAGGAGGAGACACATGGCCTCCATTTGGCTTCTACGACGCCTCACCTATCTACAACGTGCCTATGGTTAAAAATGAAGCAATCATAATTTAACTCATGTTAGCCGAATAGTTAATTCTATTTTAAAAGAGAAATATATTGTTTCATTTGAAGTTTTTTGTAACTTTTTACTTTTAATGTTGGTTTCTTTTTCGCGGGGATGCTTGATATTTGAGGCAGACTAATTTGAATGTACATATCTGTGAATATTAATTGCACAGGGGAAAAAAAGACTTTGATATCAATCCCTTACAAATATAAACTCTATGGCACTGACAGATGGACACTTGATTCTGATTTTGTATGCATGGCACATTGAAGGTAAAAACAAAACAAGAAATAACTCGTACTGCTTGGGTTGAAACGTGATCCATTTCTAATAAACAATAGAAATGACTTAAATACAACCTCTGCTGTCATCTTCTCATGTGTAGGCTCAACCGAGAACTGTGCACGGACAGATAATGTATCGATCACTCAGTCGGCGTTGATTAGAGCCCACACACTCACTCCCAGCAGATTATGTTCTCAGTGATCCAACACCAACGTCAATAGTTCTTGTTCACGCTGCTTCGAGCCCTTTATTAAACCTTGAAGAAAACCAGTACATCTCCCCATTTATTCAGACAAATGGCTCCTTTCTGCAATCTAAAAGTACATTTCTGTGTTTTCTGCCGAAGCTGAACATTGGTAGGCCTTCTGTTTATTCAGTCTCACTGGGTTTTGACCTCAAATGCCCCTCAGCTCCGGGTCTGCCTCCTGCATCTCTCCCCTGCCTGTAGTCTGGAGTCTCTGGGAGGGTGCTGATGATGGGACTGACGATCACTGGGGCGGTAATGACATCAAATAGAGCAAATATTCAATAAGGCTTGAGATGATTCACTGCTCCTCTGCACCAGCAAAGCCCCCACACCGGAGTGAGTCAGCTCTCCTGCTCGTCTCCCCTCTGCTTGTTTTTCACCCGGGATCCCAGTGCTCTCATTCACTTGATGTGAAAAGCAGCAGCAGTGAATTTAGAGAGGCAAACATGAAAAGGCTTTCAGTGCCTGTAACCTCGCAATACGGGGATGTCATGGTGAAGCTGGGCGATGCTTTGTTCAGATTAGACATTAGACTTTGGTTAGTGATATACTGTCCCTCACAAAGTCACACATTCTGAATGTGCAGTATTGAGCTGTACTAGCTGAGTGAAATGTAAACAGAAAAGCTAATGTTCTCTATATATAATTATATTTAGTTCTCTATCTATCTGTATGTATATATGTATGTTAAACATTTTGTTTCAAAATGCCCTTATTTCTAAAAGTCTATTTTGGCATTTTTATTTTTATTCTCTTTTCGTTCAAATTTCGAACCATAACAACGACAACGTGTATCCTCGCGACTGCTGACACAAAAGTGGTCTGTAGTTCGTTCATTCCTGAAAGTCCGCTGAACAAGTGTATTGTTGGCTGATGCCTTTGTTTACTTTGAGCTTGACTTAAAAATGATGGAAGTTCAGCAGGATCGTGAGCCGGACCCCGCACCGGAACCCGAGCCGGAATCCGAACCGGACCCCATAGACCTTCCCAGCTTCGCTGAGAAATGTTGTTACTACATCTTGAAGCACGCATTCCTCCTTTCAACTCTGGCAGCTGTTGCCATCGGTTAGTATTTAGATCTTTGGAGGATGGTGCGTACGAAGAATACATTTTATTGCCAAAAACACTAATTGTTAGCTTTTTGTGCAATCCAAGTAACGTCAAGTAACGCTAGCTAACGCTAATGGTTGTGAGCTTTTAACCGTTAACGGTTAACCGTTAGAAAGCGTTAAACAGTGACATATCCCACCTACCAAATAAATAAATTAACTGATTAATTGATACTTTGACTCATGATATTGATTCGGAAAATGATTTTATTGATTTGAACATAATGGTATTGCTTCCGCTAGTCGAACAGTCTCGGCTAGCCTGAACTAGGGCCATAGCAACAGCCTTTGTTATCCATAGCAACGCTGGAGGCTGCAGCAGCTGATCAGAATAGAGTCGACAGCTACAATTTAAACGTCAACAATCATTTAAACAAACGAGCGTTACAAAGTCACAGCCAGTGAAAACATCAACATGTATTAGTTCAACACTATCTGTCATTGTGAATATTAGCCACATCCCAAATAATAATAAAGTGACTGATTTCCCTTTTCTTTTTTTTGAGCTAGCTGTAATGCTAATATAGGGTGTGTTAGGCACAGATAAATGGCATGGCAACCAAGATATCAAATGATGCATTGGGTTTTATTAATGTGCGACTGCTTATCAATGCAAGTTATTTTCTTTCAATTCGTCAATGTGGACGATTTATGGACTTTGAAAGCCCAACTTCTCATCAAAGAACGCCTAAAGTTCAGTGTTGCGTGTTGCTGAAATGTTTGTGCTTCATTGTGCAGCGAGTTTAACAGTCTGGAGTGTTGTTTATGAAAGAGCTTCAAGTTTTCAGAATTGTGTGCAGAGTTACATGTTTTTGTGTGTATACAATGGAGAAGAACGGTACTACCGCCAACATATAAACACTGCAACACTTTCATCAGTGGGCCGTGGGCTCAATCACCAGTGTGTCACCTCCCTTGGCCATAAGAGACTTTTCAATCTTTTCCCATTCTCACGCATTTTAAACCATTTACTTGTTCTAATTATACTATCTTTTTTATTTTCACACAGGGTTTGGATTGGGGATGCTTTTCAAGACCTACGTCCCTCTTACAGACCGTAACAAGTTCTTCTTCGCCATGCCAGGAGAGATTCTGCTGCGGATGCTTCAGTTTCTCTCCGTTCCTCTAATTGTGACAAGTGTGGTCAGAGGTAAACCAGACGTGCACTTCTGCCTCCGTTAACTGTTACATCAGATCATCCATGTTACACACAGGGCATACAGGTGGCTTGTCAGATTTCAGCCCGCTGTCTGTGAATTGTGTTCATTTACATGACAGGCACCCTATATACGTACATATCATTATTTTGTTATCTTTTATTTTTTGAATGTAGGAGCAGCTGCCCTGAGTCTTTACAGCTCCCTTAAGATAGGCGTGCGTATGGAAGTGTACATTGTCTCGACGACTATTGTGTCTGTGGTTATAGGTAAGAGAAGGTTTGGGGATACTTTCTTTATATGTGCACATTTCTGCATACAATCACTTCATTATTGAACCTATGTAACGCGAAGCAACTCTTTATTGCTTGAAGTATTTAAATGTCATCAACTGTCAGTCATTTTCACATCATGTGTTATTTTTCATGTTGTATATCAATTGGCATTAAAAAGTAGTTCACTTTTATTTACAGAAAGCCATGGAGCAACTCTAAACTAAAGACTGAGGCAACTTGCTCATTATGATAGCTGTGGCTGTGTATCTATAAATCACTTCTCCTCAAACTAATGAAGGACTTTGTTGATCAGAACATGTTGGACGTAATGTTTATTTACACACTGTTATTCTTCTTATTCTCTTTCTAACTTTCTCATTTCTAGTAGAACATTTGTAGACATCAAAATAAGGCCTTTGTGACCTCATTTTGTGAATCCCGATTCAAACTATTGCTTCCATTAAGTCACGATCCATATTGAACAGCTACAGCATGCTTACGTCCAACCTTGAATACGTGTTGTAGGAATGATCCTGGTGCTGCAGCTCAAGCCTGGGATTGCTCGCACTATCGACCAAGATGGACTGAAGGGAATGGAGAAGTTCTCCATCATACATACCTTGGTGGATCTACTGAGGTGAGAAGAAAATGACATTACATCTGAGTTTAAGCTGAATTCAGAGTATGATTTGTCAACATTTGCAAGCTGACTAATGTGTTTGACTCTTATTTATTCTTTATAGTAACCTGATGCCACAGAATGCTTTCCAGGCTTCCTTCCAGCAGGTATGTTTTTCATACCTGTACCTATTTCTTTGCTCTCCACGAGAGAGAGAAATGTCGTATTTACTTGAGCACCCTATCTTTTCTTTTCTTAGTACAAGACTACGAGGGTGGTGTTTAGGAGTCACATACCGGTACGGCTCTTCTTCTCGTCACCATTAAGATCCTTTATTGAAGTGCAATGATACTTGATGATATATGAAGTTGCCCTCAGACCACTGTAACTACTGTTTCCCCCATCTTGTGTCAGAATGCCACTGATATGCAACTGATCGGTCACTACGTCCCCGGAGCAAACACGCTGGGCCTGATGCTGTACTCCTTCGTTGCTGGTCTGATCCTGACGAAGGTCGGAGAAAGTGCAGAAATCGTCCTGGAAGTTGTCACCGTCCTCAACAAGGCCACCAAAATTATCATCGACTGGGTTCTGTGGTAAAGTGAAACAGCATAATCAATACCATGTGGCAATATTCCACCTATTTACGGAACTAGAGTAATATCCTGCAGCGCAGTGTCAGTGTTTATGCCCTTCTATAACTTAAAAAACGGGGTATTTTCTACTGACAGGGTTGTCTATTAGAACAGGAAGCATCACACTATATTTCCCTCTTCTACCCTTAGTTCACATGAAAAAAATAATCAAATAAAGATAATTAGTTTGTGGTTCAGATAAGTATTGCTTTTATAATAATATTTACTCCTAATCATATTTAATTGTTTCCCCTTTTCCCAGATGAGAGAAACCAAACAGGTTTCTTTTGGAGTAATATTGTAACAGTAATCAGACTACTGTCCCAAATGTTGCATAAGTTATTGAAGTTCCCCTCTACCTTTTCCGGTCTTTTCTCCAGCTACTTGCCAGTAGGAGTGGTGTTCATGATTGGCAGCCATGTTGCTGAAGGTCGTGACTGGGAGACTATCTACAGTCTGGCGAAGTTCATGGGTGTGATTGTTATTGGGTACGCTCTCCTTTCCTCATCCTTTCCTCAAAACACCAACGTAGCATTCACAACCCTCACGCCTGGTGTACTCTCAAGGCACATGGGGACACTGATGAGTGTGAGAGTGGATGAGGGCAGGAGGTGTGCCAGTGGTTTGCAAAAGTTCTGGCATCATCTGACAACAGCTGTTTATAGACAGAATACCAAAGGGGACACAGGACGGGTCCTTTTATTGCAATAACTGACACTAGCCAACATGTTTGCAATGATTTCTGTCTCTGTTAAAGCAACAAAACAGTTGTCAAACACACACAATCCATTTTCTTCATCCATAAAAGTCAGACAAAATAATTCCAAATGAGCATTTAAGCCTTCTACTAATTTCATGTCATCAGCATCAATATTTATTGTGTATTAAATTGTGTGTTTCAGACTCGCAATCCATGCAGTTATAGTTCTGCCGATGGTTTATATTCTGTGGACCAGACGTAACCCGTTGATCGTCATTCGAGGGGTTTTTCCTGCCTTACTGAGTGCGTTGATCATCTCCTCCAGGTAAGAGGATATTTGAGGGTATGGTTCTAGTTGTCTGAAGCTTGCTCTGTGCGCTTGTTTTTATATTTATCATGAAAGCTGCCTAATTGTAAAGCAATTTCAATTTTTTGTAAACGGTATTTTTACATGTATGATTGCTCTTATATGATTCGTGCAACGAGAAAGCATGCATTGTGTCCCAAAGCTCCGCCACACAGCCGATCACTTTGGAATGCTGTGCGGAGAGAAACCGCATCGACTGCAGGATCACCCGCTTCATGGTGCCCATCATGACCAGTGTCAACATGGACGGGACGGCCCTTTATGAGGCGGTCGCCGTAGTTTTCATCACCCAACTCGGCAAACTCGACCTGGACTTGGGCCAGATAATCAGCATCGCGTAAGTCGCAGTTATTGTCTCTCTTTTGTCCGAGAATGAAAGGAAATCATAGATATTACCGTTGGTTAAAATGCCATAATATGGCATATTTTAAACTTAAAAAGTACTGTTTTGTATTACTGTGTCTTCAGAAATGGACTCTAGTCATTCACTGAACAGTCCGTGTGTTTGCTCTGCAGAGCGCTTTCAGCTATCTCCAGCCTCGGATCAGCAGGGGTCCCGGCGACAGGAGCCGTGACCACCATCTGTATTTTAGCAGCACTGGGCTTACCTGCAAAGGACGCCTCCATCTTGGTGGTCGTAGAATGGCTGCTGTAAGTTTTAATGCTTGCACAAAATTGAGTTAATGTATCAGACAGCGTGATGTAGGTGTATTTCCTGCTTTCATAGCTTACTGTGATTTCCGTCTTCCAGAGACCGCTGCTGCACTGTCGTGAATGTGTTGGGAGACAGCATCGGCGTGGCACTGGTCGCCCAACTGTCCGATGGGGACCTGGGAGAATTGGATGCAAGAATGAACACGTAAGTAAGAGAGGTTTCAAGACGTCTTGCGTCAAAGTAAACCAGGCCCGTTGGACATCAGACAGAAGTTACGGCAGCAGCTGGAGACTGTCCAACATATGCTCCGGAGTTTTTACACTTTATGTCCCACCATTGATGGCTGTGTTGTGTTTTGTCTAACTAGCACAGCTAATGATGACGCTCAGGAACACGTCCAGGAAGAGCAGGTCCATTCCAGCACCTGAGCTCCAATGAGCCCCTTTGCAATCCACCAGAATGTAATGTGATGTAAACAGGGTTGCTTCTGAAAAGGTTTCTCCAGAGCCAAAACAAAAGTATTTTAAAGTAGTGTAGCAGTACAGTTGTTGTTTTTTGAATGTACTAATGTAATGCATTGTGTTCAGTAATGTAGTGGCCTTCAATAGATGTACAATATAGATTTTATTGGAGAGGAATATGCCGAAATCATACTAAGAGGTTTTGCAAACGTGGGATCCAAGTGACTCAGTGAAGGAAGAAAGTCCACAATATTTAGTTTGTCACTGTGTGCGACTGTCTGTATGGTTGGCCGCCATGTTGTATGTAATTCATGGGGAGGACAATATTTGGCTTATAAAATGTGTGTAGGGGGGAGGTTTTTGTAACTTCGGGTTCCGGGGGACGCCCATGGAGCTAGGTTCACAATGTTCATTGGTATCTAGTGGAAGGATGATGATCTATGTTTTTGTTTTTTGTTTTGTTTGTATTTTTTGTGTCCGGGATTGGTTGTTTGTGTGGTTGGCAGGTATGTTGCGTGCTGTTCTGTTTGTGAGTGGCATGTCGCACTCCTGTGTAAACTGAAAATAAAAAGATTGAAAGATGTACAATATAAGAACAGATGCCATTTTTGAATTTCTGTAATTGATCTAAATGTATTTGATTTGTATTGATGTAATGGATGGATAGTATAAGTGGTTGTGGAATTACATTCATTTAAATCATCTCTATTGATTCTAATGGTATTTTAAAAGTAAGTAATCCCAGGGGAACACACACACACACACACACACACACACACACACACACACACGTAAAGGTAAAAAACCAGGAATGCACCGTGTCTCTCTGCAACTACAAAGTCTATTTGATTGATCTTAGTATCAAAATAAAGCTAACACTACAGAGGTGTAAGCATCAGTGTATATGTAACTGGGTCAGGCTAAATGAAGATGACACAGCATAAATTAAAATGAAACAGACAGACAAGAGTAAAATAAAAGTTAAAAAAAAAAGAATGAACCTAAAAATGAGCATAGTATGTCTCCTTTAACAAATAATCTTTTGGCCGTTTGGGTACCGTCTGTGCCATTTAGTTCTCATTTAGTTTCATTGTACATGTCACTATAGGTATTAAATGAATCTAAATGCAACTGATTGGGGCTTTGTTTTGAAAGCGAATCAATCAGAACTCTACTCTTTACTCAAAGAAAAAAAACAAGCTGTCATGACTGTATTGAAGGCCAATACTTTTAGGATAATTGCACTGCCATGATTCATCCACCAGCTCACAGACTGAACCGTGCTTTCACGTGCAAGGCTGCGGATTGTCTGTCTGATGCTGTAGGAAGGCCGCGTGAAAACATATACCGACGGTTGGAATGCACCTAAAAGCGTCTTTTGGTCGTCTCAACTTTTCATATTGACTTTGTTTGTGTAGGTAACATGAAGTAGCAAAATGGCTAGCAGCACTCGGGTCGCATGCACCGTTTTGCAGTCTGCTCATTTAGTCGCTTGGTGTTGAAGTTGAGTCTCGTTGAGTTAAAAATGGTTCTCATGAGCTTCGTTTGTTCCGATACTCAGAAGAAAGGAGCACCACGTGCAGCTAAATATTTTTGAAGCTGGAGATGTTTTTTTGGCGATTTGTGGTGAAAAGATATCTTTATCAACAAAACCAGATATGTTTTTCATTTATCACCATTGTTCTTATGGAGGTTTTGACAGAGAATCGCACTTTATTTATAACCTAGCAGACTCTTCTGAATAGCATGATATGGTTTCTTTATTTTCATTCTTCACACACTAAAAGATTCATGTTTTTTCCATTGGCATTGGATATATTTTCAATTGTGTTAGCCAATTCTTTTTTTAACATTCAGAAATAAATGAATGAATAAAACCTATGTATGAATCATGTGTGCCACCGATATTAGCCTGAAGAGAAGCGTTTTTATTTAACTTTTTCACACTGTTTTTACAGATTGAAATAACTGCCTTAAGGTTTTAGATTTTTGCTGTTACGGTCATGTTTAGACATTTTGAAGGTGTGTGTAGTAGAGTTTGTGCAAGATGGGTGAGGTTAGGCCGTCTGTAAGTAACAGTCTGGATGTGATGGTCTCAGGCAATACATTGAGTTGGGTTGACATCATTGGGCAGAAAGTGTCATGCATAGTAGCCCAGTTAATGTGCTCTGATCACTTTCAAGGTATTGAAATTAGATTTTTAGAGAGAAATCCCTTCATAATGAAAAGAGTGAAACTTTCAAGGACCACACTTTTCCAGCAATACATTTCCATGTATCTCTACTGTAGAAAAAGTCTTCTATGACACAGGATGCATGTTTAAATTTCTTGGAAAAGAAACTCGCCTCAGGTGTAGTTATGTTTTCAGACCTCAACCTGAACATCAAGACAATTACATAATCAGCCTACTATCGCCTGAAGAATGTGTCAAGGATTAGAGGACTTCTGTCTCAACAGGATTTGGAAAAACTTGTCGATGCATTTGTCTTCAGCAGACTGGACTACTGTAACGGTGTGTTTACAGGTCTCTGTAAAAAGTCAGTCAGAAAGCTGCAGCTGATTCAGAACGCTGCAGCTCGAGTCCTCACTAAGACCAAGAAAGAGGATCACATCCCTCCAGTCCTGAGGTCTTTGCACTGGCTTCCTGTCCAACAAAGAATTGACTTTAAAATCCTGCTGTTGGTTTATAAAGCACTGAATGGTTTAGTGCCAAAACACATCTCTGATCTGCTGCTACCTTATGAACCATCCCGACCCCTTAGGTCGTCTGGGACCGGTCTGCTTTCTGTTCCCAGAGTCAGAACTAAACATGGAGAAGCAGCGTTCAGTTGTTCTGCTCCACATATCTGGAACAAAGTCCCAGAAAGCTGCAGGTCTGCTGAGACCCTCAGCTCCTTCAAATCAAGACTGAAGACTTTTCTGTTTGCTGCTGCTTTTAATTGAAACAGATTCAAGGATATTAATCAATTTCTGCATTTTAATACTGTATTTTATTTCTTACGCTGCTTTTTAGTGTTTTAATGACTGTTTTTAATGTTTCAATCAAAGTTCTTAATTGTTTTTAAATCTCATTTTCTGTTGCCTTTTGTTTTGATGCTTTTAATGGTTTTATGTGAAGCACTTTGAATTACCTTGTTGTTGAAATGTGCTATACAAATAAACGTGCCTTGCCTCATGAGTCTGAGCTGAAATGCATTTTGATTTTGACACGTTTATCAATATATAACTGTATAACTGTAAACCAACTGGTTGTTCCATCTTCTCTTAATGATGATGATTCTACCTCCAATATTTAATACTTGACCAGTTGTGGCTTTGGGAATTACTTTCACTGTCCTGTCAAAGACCTGTTTGATGAAAACAAATTGAAATGTGATTAAGGTAAAAAACACAGATGCTCACAGAGTGGAAGAAGCATGATCAGTCCAATGTATGATTGAACATGACAAACGTTTGAATCTTGGTTGGGAATGGTGAAAGTAAGAGACGGTCACAAAGCTTGTCCAGGTCGTGGACATAGATGATGCCTTATTCCCAGCACAGCACTTGAAGGATGAGGGAGGATGTTTGTAATTATGTCTCAAGGTGTGAGAGCACCTAATTAAATACATTTAATAAATGACAACAGGACATTGTCATTGTACCACGGAGACATTTTTCACCTTAGTAGCCTCAGTAATATATATATATATATATATATGGATGGATGTATGGAGTCACTGCTGGGTGAATTTCTACCGTATTCTATCTGTTTGTAGCGAGTAGATTTTTGAATTGTTATGTAATTTAAGAAGCGGTTTGTCAGAACAATTCATATTTAAAATCCCTAAATTTGGAGATATATTATTTTCTTGGTTATTAGGTCTAGTAACAAAAGCTGCCAAAAGTTACACAAGTACACATGCATACAAGTGTGTGTGTGTGTGTGTGTGTGTGTGTGTGTGTGTGTATATATATATATCTGCTGCACTGGTAATATAACTCTCATAACTGAAGTGAACACAGATTAAATTCAAAGCTTGTTTCATGAGCACGACATCATTCCATGTTCACTTCCTTCAGCTGCTTCCACTCATGAGTCACAGATGATCATGAGCATCAGATGAATCAGATTGTTAATGTTTTCCAAAATGTTGCCTTTAGCTGTAACACAGCTCCCTCTTACCCCCCCTCCTGTCTCACATTGTTTATTTCCCATTAGATCATTCAGATAAATTAGGCATCTACAGTATGACTCTAATTGTTAAGGTCGGCTGGGGGACAAGTTGCCCATGTGAATCATGTGCTGCCTCTCCTCTCTCCCCTGCTGTTGATCTCCCCTCCTTCCTCCCGTCGAGGGATCTTTTGATGTCACCAGACATGACAAGTGTGACATCTGCGTCATATCGTGGGGCGCACAATCAGAGGCCTCCTCATGTGTGGTCACTGGTTTTCATTGTAAGTTGGCGTGTGTGTCCTGATGTGGCAGCCCTCTGTTCTCCTCTGGGAGTTCATTATCTCTTTTTAATTCTGATCCTTCCGTGTGTCAAAACAGTGTGTTTGTGCCGACTGTCACTTTAACTTTTCTTTTTTCAATATTCACTGCCCCCTTGGAGGTTTTTATGTTTTATTGTTCTACAACATTGAGATTTAATGTGGCTTATTTATACGAGGTATATAAAGGTGATACAAGAACATCCATAATATATATAACATGATATTAATTCAGTACATCATTGCAATACAAGTCTATTCCAACAGGAAAAACTAAATAATAATGATACAGAATACATACTATTAAAAGTAAATACAATCCTAGTGCAACTAAAGTGCAATTTTTGCATATGAATAAAACATCAATTCTGTAGTTTTGTCACATTATATCTCGAGCTGAGAAAGGTGTGCTGTCAAGAATAAAACATCTTTATTCATTCCATATGCAGCATCCTGAAAAACTATGATTGACAGTTTCTTTTTTATTTAATAAATATTATGTTAACTTCCTCATCCTTGTCAGGATTCCACCAAACTGATCCACGGGGGGATCCTGAAGGCATGAGTCTATTATTAAAGAGACTTACCTCTTTTATATTTCTGTTGATACAAGAGTAAACACACTCACACTCTCTTGCTCCGTAATTTCAGTGTTTGGATTCATTGGTCGTGCTGTCGGTCTGTGCCTCGCGTCCCCTCTGGTCATTTCACCCCCTTTTTTTTGTCGTGCCCCCTTTCGTGTCTCCATCTGAGCCCACAACCCTGTCAATGGAACCTGCAGGCACGCTGGAGGAAACTCCACCTCTGCCTTGTCATAATGAGACCTACTTCTTCTCACCATCCCGGGACAAGGGGGCCAGTGTAGGTCACCTCTCGCGAGGCTCGAGGATAATTGGGTAGTTTAAACAATCCAGTGAGAATAAGACACACCGAAAGGCCTCCACCCATATTTAGCAGCTCCGCACACGCTATTGTGTGATTGCACGGGGAGAGAGAAGCTGGCCCGTCTCCTATCTGGGTTAGAGGCGGGCTGTTATTGGAACGGCCACCTGTGGCACCGGGAGAAGGTGGACCATAATGGATTGCTGGGGGTTCCAACACGACAGCCGCAGTGCCAAGCCTGTCAGTTCATCTGGATGATTACGACCGGGGCCGTGTGTGACTAAAAGGATAAAAGGCTCTAATGTGATGGAGATGAGAGGATATGGACTGCCCTGCCGTGCCCGAGCCTGTGTGAAATGGAAGCCTCTATGTTTACTCGTGACCCGAGCGAGATACTGGTCACTAACGGCCACATTAGCTTGAGATCAGACTGACTCTGGGTCAGGGCCAGTGTGGAAGAGACAGAACGGTTGAGACTTTGGGTGATTGCCTCCCTCACCAAATCCCAACGTGACTTAAATTGCTTCATCTTTACTTGTTTATTCTTGAAAGCCAGCTGGCAGACACCACGCTTCAGTCATGAAAATTGACCATTTACAGCAAATGGTTATACAATCAGATTCAAGCTCTAATCTCTAATCTCTAATCGTTGAGATTAATTCTACAGTGAACAAAAATGAATTAACTTTTGAATCTTTGACTGACTGATTTGAATTGTTTCATTAAGTTCAATTGTAAGATTTCATTTATTGGTTTATTTTTTTTGCTGTGCGATTGCATCAGTGGACAGAGTTATCACTTCACTGTTGTTTGTGTGGCTCTCATGGTCTTTTAATAAGCTTTTATGGAGCGCTGTGGCTCAGAGGAAGAGCGGGTCATCTTCCAAGTGGACGATCTGCGGTCCGATCCCCTGCTCCTCCGGTCCACGTGTCGAAGTGTCCTTGGGCAAGACACCGAACTCCAAATTGCTCACGATTGCTTTGCCATCAGTATGTGAATGTGAATGTCAGTTTACGTCCTGAAGGGCAGGTGGCACCTTGTTAGCCTCTGCTATCAGTTTGTGAATGATGACCTTTAAGGTGGCGGAAAGACTAGAAAGGTGCCAGACGAATGCAAGTCCATTTACCATTTGCTTTTAAACCAGGAAGTGCATGTATCAAGGCTGAGCTCACAATGGGGCTTTCTGTCACCAGGCAGGGCCACTCAGGTTGAAGATTCGGTGTTAAAGATTTGTGTATGCTTCATATGTCCTCCAAACTCAGCAAATGGTGCACAGAATACCAACATGGACAGAATAGGAAAGCAGACCTGGAGGCAAAGTTAGTGCAGTAGTTGAGGGTTTCGGGTATGTTGTTTTCATTAATTGAAACCGTACTATTATGTTGTGTATACAGTTCATGGTTTGTGCTAAGCTAATGTTAGCACTCATTTGGTGCTTGCCGAGCAACCCAAACCTAGCCTGGTTGTGTAACAAAGAGGCAATGCAGGGCCTGACAAAGGAACAGTGTGCCGGCATCACCCGTAACATGTGGACTAGGGGTCCTACTTATTTGATGGGATGTCCCAGGTAAACATGACAAGACCTTTGAAGAGTAGCGTAAATCTCCTTGAATCCTTTCGGCATTTTGTCTCTGGAGGAGGAATTTGAGTGCTTCTGCAGAGCAGCTGGCGTGGGTGTGAGGTTCAAACATGTACACACATACACACACACGCACACAAACACAAGCTGTGAGTTGATTTCCCAAAATGTGTGCTGCCGCTGCTTGTTTGTTTTCTGTTTATGTCCCACGGACATCGTATTCATCCTGCCTCTTAAAAGCAATTGAAGCTAAATTTGGACTTCTCACCAATGGAGACACGAATTAAGCTTAAAGTTTGACATTTTGGGAGATAGGCTTATTTGCTAGCCA